AACGTTGTGCTAGATGATGTCTTTGTTCCCGCCTGTCTTTCTGTCAATGTTTTCTTTCCGGAACAGGAAACACTTTTTTTTTTTAGGTGAAGAGAAAGAGAGTATGCGACTAGATCGGTTGTATGTGTGAGCTTTTTTCTGTCTGCTAGTTTGTATGACTGTTTTGTCTGCATGTCTCTGTGTTTGTCTGTATAAGTTGATATGGGTGAAGAAAGATTGACTGGATCAATTGTTTGTGGTCTTTATTTTGCTGTCCGTTGTTTCTTCCTCAGTTTTTTTGTTGTTTCTGTTTTATCAAAGCACTTGAATGAACGGTGAGGAAGGAGACCAAATGTTCGAGCTATTTTTTGTTCGTCATTCTGTCGATCTGTCGTTCTTACAGAGAAAAACGAAATCATATTATGAATCTCTCTCTCTCTCTCTATCCAGCACACAACAGTTCAATAAGGGGTGACGCTGTACCTGACACCATTACATCAGGGTTGTAAACGACTCTCGCTCCTGATGACACTGCATACATGGTAGTGGGGTGTGTGTGGGGGGGGGGGTGATGATGTAATGCACTCTATAAATACTTGCTGTTGTTCTGTGAGGTATGAGTATGTATATGAATGTATGGTTTTCACACACACACACACATACACTCACACACACACACACACACACACACACACACACATACATACCTCAGTCCTATAAAGTCTGTTAGTTGCACTTCAAGTGAACTGCAGCTACCAAAATCCACGGCATACAAAGTAGTACACAAGAGATTGCACCTTTACGTGTAAAAACTCTTCACATACTAATGAGAAGCTTCGGTTCTATGGGTTCACATATTCCTTGTTAAACTCGATTGATGAAGACATCTAACACTCGATTAGTGAAGAAAGGAAATTAATAAAAAAACAAAATTCTATAATTACTTATTCATGTATCTACAAATTCTCTAGATACATCTACGTAAAACTGGCACCTCATCGACCTGTTATATATTCACTACTCTAAACAAATTAACAATAGACTTGACCAGACGATAAATAATAATACAAAGGTGAATGAAGTGTCTACCTGAGGCAAGACTCAGGTACTTAAGTTCGTACTAAGATGATGTTTGGTGCAGTAAATCACGGCTATCAACCACACTCTTATCCTAATCGTTCCTTCTGTATAGGTAACGAATATTAATGTGTGTGTTATACAGTCTCGTATTTATTCATCTGAACATATCATTTATTCAGGATTGTGATTTTGACGAAGAGAATTGATTGTAAGTAGAAAGGGTAATAATTCATCTAACAAAAAGAGGCATGTCCATAGCCATAGACAGTGAAGATAAAGATGCAGACATACACATAGACGAAGGTGGCCTATATGTGGAAAGGACTGTGGCACATACAAAGACATAACACAGGCATTTTTAGACAGATGTAAATTTAGAAACACATGGACATAGAGAATAGAACGTCGCATATATTTTTATTTAGATATAAATGTACACACACATATATAACCAAATTATACAGTGAGAGAGAGAGGCATTTAGCCACGGGCTTAGATTTAGAAATAGACAAAGATACAGATGTAAATTAAGACTTAGAATGCACAGACAACTAGACACAGAGACAGAAATAGATTTAGACATAGAATAATAGATTTTAGCTGTAGATATTGACTTAAACACATAAATTCAGATTTAGAGTAGCACAGACCAAGACATTTACACACCGAGTTAAACGCATACACAGGCATTGAACGTAGAAATTGACTTACAATGACACCGACATAGACAGGGTCAGGTGTTATCTGTGTACCTGACTTGCATAGTAATTAAGAAGCTTTCAGAACCGCCCTCCTTAGTACGTGTCTTATTTATATCACAGACAAAAAGTACTCTCTCTCTCTCTCTCTCTGTGTGTGTGTGTGTGTGTGTGTGTGTGTTGTGCATGTGTATGTATTTGCGTGTGTGTGTGAGTTGTCACGGCCACTACTGAATAATCCCCTGTTTCAGCACTGCCCAAACTCGAGGTTCATTAATCCAAATTACATTCTGAAATAACAGCTTTGGTCAACAGCCCAGAATTATGTAGACGATCCTTTGTTACTTCTAGCTGACAGTTGAAGATGACATTTAATATAATTACATGTGAGAATACATTCAGGGAAACTATTCATTAAGTCGTGTACTTGGGACTTGAAGAAATACCAGCTTATAACAATTAACGCTTATTGTATTTACAGTAAAACAGAGTAAAGACAATAACACTGCACGGTCCTGTGACCCAACTAATTTAAAAGCTTATCTATCTTAATTCCATAATATGGCTCTCCCTCCGTTCACAAAAGTATCACCTAATATTCACCCCTATTACTGGTGAATAAATCAATAACAAAACATAGAATACATGACGGATGAAATAAGATTATAATCACTTTCCTGGTCTCACATCCAGACCCTGTATTTACCCAGAGAGAGAGAGAGAGCTCCAGAATTTCAACAACAGTACAGCTTTCACAATTAGAATATTAACTCAAAACTTCTTTACATAAGTACATAATATTACACGATTACAAAATATTAGAAATTACAAAGAGCCAATATAATTCACATCTAATGCAAAAAATAAACTAATTATTATAAAGGACATACATCTTTCACATCTCCTTTCTTTTCATAGAAAACCTCTCCTGCAACGGTAACTGATACAAAAGGAATATATAACACATCTTAATATTATGTAAATACATAGACAAATGTAACAGAATATGCTGATGTGTGCCTTCACGTAACTCCAATGTCTCAAAGTGATGCATCAAAGTACATTGAGACAGACAGACAGACAGACACACAGACAGACAGAAAGAACCTAAGAAAGAGAGTAGGAGACTAGTAATACTCCACTCAGCTCCCTGTATCTCACGCTGATAACACAGGGACCAGTTCTTGTGAGAGGCGGTCCGCTGCTCCTCGTACATAACATACACACACAGGGGGGAGGTCCGGACCTTATCGTACACCTTGTGGTTTATGGGGCAGTGTTTTCCCGCTGATGGGTCTTTTGGCCTGTGATGCAGGTGAGTAACCACAAGATGGACAGATCAATTTACAAACAGATTGGCAGACAGGCAAAAAAAAAAAATAGTATGATAGAAAGCAAACAGAATAAGAAAGAATGTTGAAAAACAGAAGGACATAAATAAAGGAAGTTATAACACTGATGGATATATGAATGCGGAGGGGAGAAGGGGAGGAATGGAGGAAGGAGAGGCGTAAGCAGAGAGATAGAGAGATAATTTGTCGAATCCGAGACACGATGAGAAGATGAAGTAAATGGGGGAAGAAAGAAAGAGAATGAGAAGACAAATAAAAAGAGGGATAAACAAACAAAGAGATGGGCCAAGGCGACGCATACGTGCATGGAAGAACTCAAGGAGAGGCATACGTGCATGGAAGGAGTCAAGAGGACGCAAATGTGCATGGAAGGAGTCAAGGGAAGGCATACGTGCATGGCAAATGGAAGCATACGTGCAAGGAGAATCATACGTGCATGAAAGGAGTCAAGGGAGGCATACGTGCATGGGATGGGTCAAGGGGAGGCATACGAACATAAGTGTCAATGGGAGGCATGCGAACATAAGAGTCAGGGGCAGGCATACGTGCATGGAAGGAGTCAGGGGCAGGTATACATGCATGGAAGGAGTCAAGGGGAGGCATACGTGCATGGGATGGGTTAAGTGGAAGTATACGTGCATGAGATGGGTGAAGGGGAAGCATACGAACATAAGAGTCAGTGGCAGGCATACGTGCATGGAAGGAGTCAGGGGCAGGTATACATGCATGGAAGGAGTCAAGGGGAGGCATACGTGCATGGGATGGGGAAAAGGGGAGGCATACGCGCATTGGATGGGTCAAGGGGAAGCATACGATCATAAGAGTCAACTGGAGGCATCCAAACATATGAGTGCATGGAAGGAGTCAAGGGAGGCATACGTACATGGGATGGATCAAGGGGAGGCATACGAACATAAGAGTCAAGGGGAGGCATACGTGCATGAAAGGAGTGAAGGGAAGGCATACGTGCATGAAAGGGGTCAAGGAGAGGCATACGAGCATGGACACACACACACACACACACATACAGGAGAGAGAGAGAGAGAGAGAGAGAGTAAAAACATTTGACATACTAGTATCATAAACATACTGCACTAGGTTAATGTAACAATATCAACGTGAACTATATCAAGTTATACTACCAACTAAGGCACTAGAATATATTTGTAGTGTATAACTCCATTAGTCTGTGTCTGGGAGAAAGAGGCTCCTATTTTATACACTTTCTCTATATTTTCTGAAAGCGAGTTTGAATGGCTTATTCATATTAGACTGAAGAGTAACAGTTGCATTTCAGTTTCTGACCCGTACTGTACATATTGATATAGTTACATGCATACACACACGTAGAAATACACAAAAAGCATACAAACAAAGAAACATACACACGCACGCACGCACACACACACACACACACACACACACACACACACACACACACACATCAAGACTGGCGCATTGATCTTCACGCTCAGTTTAGAAATCGAGTGCATTGGTTCGATCGCGGACGTCAAGCGGAGATATTATGAAAATTGCTTTTAAGATTAAGAGGTGACCTGATCGTTTCACTGTCCAATACACACACTCTCTCCCTCTCTCTCTCTCTTTTTCTCTCTCGTTTTCTCCACTACTTTCCCCCCTCTCTCTTTCTAAACCCCGTTTCTATCTCTCTTTTTCCTTAGCTTTATTTAATTTTATTTTCCTTAGGCCGTCATGCGGAAAAACAGCTTCATTTTGACAGAGAGAGAGAAAAAGAGAGAGAGAAAGAGAGAGAGAGAGAGAGAGAGAGAGAGAGAGAGAGAGAGAGAGAGAGAGAGAGAGAGAGAGACCATTCCTGCCACCCCTTGCAAAACTAATATTTCTCTTTCCTTTTTCCCTTCCCTTCCCACAGTTATGACGCAAGAGTGGGCGAATTCCGCTCAGGCATAAGATGGGCAGACGAGACGGTTCTGGGCAGCCGAGCATACTTTCTGCCACGATCTGACCCGCCTACGTTGTCCCTAGACCCTGCACACGCCCAAGACCAAGGCGTGTATACTTGCCGGGTGGACTACCGCCTCTCACCCTCCACCACCGCCGTTGTCAACCTTACTGTAGTTAGTGAGTATTGTCTCTCTTAGTTGTGTTTGTCCCAGTCTCCTCAGCTCTCTCTGTGTCTCTCTGTCTCTCGAATAGACTTCCTGTTTTGTGTACCTTCACTTTATTAATATATGTGTGTGTGTGTGTGTGTGTGTGTGTGTGTGTGTGTGATATAGACAGCAAGAGTGAGTGCGTGCGTTCGTGTGTGTGTGTGTGTGTGTGTGTGTGTGTGTTAGCGTCCAGCTTTGATTCATAAAATATATACCAGGGTAATGCTTAAGAGAGTGGAGACATAAGTATGATATACATCTTTTTATGATACGGAAGTAAGTCAGAGGAAACGAGGCTGACGAAGTTATGATTATATTAGGCCCTTGTGCGAAGAGAACATGAGAGAGACAGAGACAGAGACAGAGGAACAGAGAACGAGAAGCATGAGAGAGACATAGAGACACCTAAACAGAGAAAGAATAATTGAAAAGAAAGGATGAAGTACATGCAATTTAAATGATAGAATGGAGGAGAAATTAGAAAGAACGAAAAGAAAGGCAGAAACTAACCCACCAATATACAAACAAATAAATATATAAGATTATAAAATTATTACCAGAGAGAGAGAGAGAGAGAGAGAGAGACCGACCTTACTGTACCTGTGGTTTGTGGATAGTCTTGCATTATATATGAAGACTACTTTTTTGAAGAGGTTTTATGGTCAAATAAATATTCGATGAAAGTGGCACACACACACACACACACACACACACACATATTAAAATAAAATAATATAATTTATGTTGTATGACTCTTATAGTACCCAAAATTCATACATTTTATTTTAAACTTAAACATTAATTAAGTTACCCGGCCTCTCTCGGTCCTTCCCTGGTCGTCTTCAAAACAGTCCACCGACCCACGGACACGCCTCGTGCACGAAAATCCCTTCGGTCTCCCTCACCTCCCTTCCAAATTTCAGCTGTTAAATTTTCAGCTGTATCTTTAAAAATGTTGAAATACATAAGTAGCATAATATCTTTATAAGGACGTATTTGGCGCTACTAACGCCAACATACTGTGTGTGTTTCAAACTGCTTCAATACCAACAATACAGTACAAAGATTGACAATCATCCCACAACTGCTATACAAAGGTGACAATTTTAACTGGAATAAAATGGAAAACAAGTAATGGAAAGCAACAATACGGTGCTCTGCGGTCAGTGGTTGTGTCCGATACTGACCTCACCATCAGGTCTCAGCGTTGTACCTCCCACCAACACAGAAAAAATTCACAACTAAACCAGATGACAAAAAAGAGTACTATGTGTGTTTCTTATGTTCTTATGTGTGTTGAAGTACTGTGCGTGTTGGAGTACTGTACGTCTGAGAGTACTGTGCGTGTTGAAATACCGTGCGTGTTGGAGTACTGTACATGTTAGAGTACTGTGAGTGTTAGAGTTCTGTGCGTCTTGGAGTACTGTGCGTGTTGGAGTACTGTGTGTGTTAGAGTACTGTGTGTGTTGAAATACTGTGCGTGTTGGAGTACTGTACGTGTTAGAGTACTGTGCGTGTTAGAGTACTGTGCGTGTTGGAGTACTGTGTGTTAGAGTGCTGTGTGTGTTGAAATACCGTGCATGTTGGAATACTGTACGTGTTAGAGTACTGTGCGTGTTATAGTTCAGTGCGTGTTGGAGTACTGTGCGTGTTGAAGTACTGTATGTGTTAGAGTACTGTGTGTTGAAATACTGTGCGTGTTGGAGTACTGTACGTGTTAGAGTACTGTGCGTGTTAGAGTACTGTGCGTGTTGGAGTACTGTGTGTGTTAGAGTACTGTGTGTGTTGAAATACCGTGCGTGTTGGAGTACTGTACGTGTTAGAGTACTGTGTGTGTTTGAGTGCTGTGTGTGTTTGAGTACTGTGTGTATTGGAGTACTGTGCGTGTTGGAGTACTGTGTATGTCAGAGTACTGTGTGCATTGGAGTACTGCGTGCGTTGGAGTACTCTGTGCACTGGAGCACTGTGTGTGTGTTGCAGTACTGTGGGTGTTGGAATATTGTGTGTGAGTACTGTAAATAATAATAATAATAATAATAATAATAATAATAATAATAATAATAATAATAAACGGTTTATTAATAGAGTTGCAGCCGGTGGCTGAAAATATACAGACTTACATTTGATTTAGACATAATGATATAATATGCATTGAATACATTTACAGGGCTGTACAGTACATAAATCAGGAGTTGTTTATTATTTTAACAATAGATGGATTGGTGCTATTCGTATATCTATCGGTGCGGGCTCATATGGGCTGAATTTTGTTGTAGTGGCGGACTGAGCGAGGTGGGTGGGGGGCTGCCGGTGGCAGGAGGTGGCGATGACATGGGTGGTGCATTAGTTGGCTGCCAAACCTTTCCAGCGCTTGGTGGTGGAGGCCACTGAGGGATGGCATTTCCAGGGTGGAGAGAGCGTTGGTGTAGTTGGAGTATTCTGCGCCGAGCATGATTCTGCAGGCCCTTTTCTGTACCTTCTCTAGCTGACGTTGTTGGGTGGAGTTGAGAGAAGACGACCAGGCTGGTGACGCATACGTTAGTTTGGGGATAATAAAGTTGTTGTAGATGGTCCTCAGCTCTGGCGTGGGTGTCCCAAGTGACCTAAGTCATCGTAGCATGTAGAGACGGTACGAGGCTGCCTTGACTGTGTTATTTACATGGGCCTTCCAGTCAAGTTTGTTGTCTATAGTTACACCCAGGAGTTTGGCAGACTGCACCAGCTGGAGAGGATGGGCACCCACTGTGACTGCTGGGGCATGCACTGGAGTGATGGCTGTATTGATGTGCATGACTACGGTTTTGGTGTAGTTGATGGTGACCTCGTTCTCCATAGTCCATGCCTGTAGCCTGTCCAGGGTGCCTTGTAGCGATGAGTAGTCTGGTGCGGTGTTGTCTGGTACTGTGTGTGTGTGTGTGTGTGTGTGTGTGTGAGTGTGTGTGTGTTGGATTACTGTGTGTGTGTGTGTGTGTGTGTGTTAGAGTACTGAGTGTGAGTTTGTATGTGTTGGAGTACTGTGTGTGTTTGTTTGAGTACTGTGTGTGTGTGTTGGAGTACTGTGTGTGTGTGTGTGTGTTAGAGTACTATATGTGTGTGTGTGTGTGTGTGTGTGTTTGTTGGAGTATTGTGTGTGTGTGATGGAGTAATGTGTATGTGTGTGTGTGTGTGTGTTTGTGTGTGTGCAGCCACACACAGGGAGGTGAAATACTCCCTCTCGCTTTCAGCTACCGCCGCTGGCTAGCCCTCGTGGCGAACAGGGAAGCAGCTTGCATAAGTCTTCCCCTGCCAGTACACAGCCTCTTCACCACCAAGATTAAAGATGTGCCTCCTCGTGGCAACACACGGTAACTGGGTGCCTCGTGGGCCCAGGCTAGATCAGCTGGGGATCTCAGAGTATCAGTGGGCCCCTAAGGAACGGCATATAGGCCCACTAGCATATGAACACGTCCTCGTGCCAACCACCGTCCCGTTGCCTTGCGGATTAACCTTGGTAGGTGTAAGGGTACGGGAGTAAACCCCGAACGAAAAATCTGCAACAAAACCACAACGGCGGTGTAGGCGGAAGAGGTGATACCACGGAAACCCAGCGACTACACCGGCGGACGAAGGTAATGCCTGATGGACAGGCTACTAAGGCGAAACCTACCAAACTGGGCTATCAGCAGTCCATTGCGACTCTCCCTCTCCCCATTCGTTGCAACACTTTCACCACTGGATCAGGAAAAGGGAAAGCCACGATGTGTGGTTGAAGCCTGTGCTCCTGCCTAACCACACAAATCAACTCATGCAAAGCAATCATCTAGTTCATCATACCTCTCATCATCATCAAAACCCTTATAACCCCAAAAGTCCAATGGCGACGGATGAATGGCGACGGGGACAGGCAGAGATGACTACCGGGAATCTCTAGTCACAACTCTGCACATGGGTGGCACAGATAAGATAGTCGTTTATGAACTGGGATCTAGGCAGAAGTGCACTCTGGTCTTGTCTCTGCGACTGAGCAACCCTTTCGGGAAGCCACTCTGCTCACCACACATGGGGAGGGGCCTAGAAAAGATGCCCTAAACATAGTCTGCCTAAAAACCCAACTTGACTGGGCAACCGCACCCAGTAAGGTCATCCTTAAGCCGTCGAAAACACAACCAAAATTACAGATCCAAACAAAAACAAACCATGCAACCTCTTATGGTCGCTGCATGGAATGTCGGGATCCTTCTGGATACTAGCACAAATGCGCATCCTGAAAGAAGAACTGCCCTTGTGGCCAACTCACAGAACGGGGGTCTGGATACACCTTCTTCTGGAAGGGTAAGCCTGCTGTAGAGAAAAACCGCATTTATGGAGTTGGCTTTGCCATCCGCCAGCGCACACTACACAGGCTAACTAAATTCGCAATTGGGATCGACTAGCGCCTCATGACGCTTCGAGTCACTCTGAATCACTCGCGTCATGCCTTCTTCATCAGTACATACGCCCCAACACTGGATGCAGAGGATGACATCAAGGAGTCCTTTTATTCCGACCTCGATAGAGTGGTAACCTCTATCCCCAGAGAAGACAAGGTTGTGCTTCTTGGCGACTTCAATGCCAGAGTTGGCAGAGATGCTAAAAATTGGCAGGGAACCATGGGAGAAATGAACTAGGCAAGTGTAATCCCAACGGCCTACTCCTCCTCAGCAAATGTACTGCACTCAACGTCATTATCATACTGCACACAACTTCACAATCACCAATGCATTGTTTAGGTAGGCCAAGAAGTTCAAGGGTTCGTGGCAACACCCACTGGCATCTCATTGACTACATCATCGTCAGAGAAAGAGATTGGCGAAATGCCCTCATCACCCATGCCATGCTTGACTCAGACCACAGTGACACTGATCATCGGCTCGCCAGGGCCCAACTCTCACTTCAAGTCGCCTCAAAACGGCGAAGGCAGCAACCCTCTAGAAGAAGGTTTAACACGAAGCG